CCATTACCATCACAACAATCAAAACGATATAAAAAACCGGAATTAGATAGAAAACGACTGGATCTATTAAATGGTAATTATCGAACAACTTTCTGTCTCTTCCATAAATACGTCCTTTTTGAACTATCAGAAAGAAAGACATGGTCAATAAAATGGTATCTGTTCTTTCGTCTTTTCAGAAGCTGTGCGTAGTCAATTTCGAATCAGTAAACATCATTATCCAACTTTTTATAAAGAAATAATTCAACAAACATTAGCTGATTGTCTTTATAATGAAGGACCAAGAAAAGAAAAAAGACAAACAGTACAACAGCAACAACAAACGCTAGAGCAACCGGTAACAACGCCAGCTACTGCTCCAATAACGTCCCATCATCATCCCATGATCATCATCCGACTAATGATTATTATACAATCGGATAAGGATATTTAAAACATCTTTTTTCTTAGGCTATGCAATACATGTGAAAACTAAATTTTTTGTGCGTTTGTTGTTTGTTGCCTTATTTTTGTTTGTTTAACTTAGTTGAAAATAGAAATCAGAAGAAAAGCAGAAAATAATAGGCTGCAAGCGGGTCTGGACGGGTGGATCAGCAAAAAACTGACCGGAAATGGGTGTAAACGGAAAAATACTTCGTTTTGCGGTAATATACAGAAAGAATACGAAGAAAAACAGATCATCGTATTTGAACCGTAAAGTACCGCAAACGATCATATACGACACGTTTACGGTACGGAGAAAATACGGACCGTAAAACTGTTCCCTATCATACGGTGAAATACGTTCCGTTTACTGCTAGTATTCTCACCGTTTGCGGCCGTAAATACACCTGTTTTCATCGTTAACTACCGTGAAACGGCGCGTAAACAGTATTCGTTTTGTCCGACCTGGGTAGGTACATCTAGCGATTAAGCGTGCGGTTCGTCTAGCTGTTTAAAAAAAAGAATCGCTAGATACAAAAAACGTTATAATTAGTTCGATTCGAACTCTGTACCTAGAGATCAGTAGTCTTCTATCTATGCCATTGTACCACACGAGCTTACACAAATAGATATACATTTTTTATCCTCTTCTTATTATTATGGATAGAAATAACACTAAATTTAAAAGAACTAATTAACAATAATAAACGTTTCTCACCATGATGGAAGCATTTATTAGACTTGAGTCTGGAACATGAAATGCTGGAAATTTAATTTCTTACAATTTTTCTACTGGTGTTGGGTCTCTAAAAGTTGATCTTCAGACTAAAAAATGATTTTCTGCTTTTTATCTTGAAGATCTAGTTGTACAAAGCTGAGCCTGGCAGATAAAATTTAGAAAACTAAATTTGCTACACATTCTGATCCAAACTCAAACTTGAGAAATACTTTGTTCGTGGTGGGAAACTGAAAATTATGTTTAAAAAAGTGGTTTTCCCGAATTTTGACTGTGAAGGAGATGTTTTCCAAACTTGAGCCTAGAAGATGAAATTTAGCAAATTAAATTTCCTCAATTCTATCTGTTGGGCTCAGCTTTGTATAACTTGAGCTTCACGGTGCAAAATGATAACTACTGAAAAACTTTTGAACCGCCTCTTTCAACTTTTCTGGATACTGAGCAGTGACACGCTCATGTGTAGATGGAGCAATCAATCCCAACTTTTTTGCAATATGCTGGACAACAACCTTCTTTTTCCTAAACATTTTGGAAGTGCCGAATAAACTTTCTTGATAGCTTTCCCAAACGATTGACGACTTTTAAATGCCACAGGTGGTGGAGGTTTATTAATTAATCGTTTTGTTTTATTATTAAGATACTTTTTTTGACGTAAATTATTCTTTGTACGCAGTGCTGCTGATTCCACCACATTGAGTTTCGTTTTCGTTGCTGTTTTATTATCACGTTCTTTTTTAAGAAGATTTTTCGTATTTTACTTTATCTTTTTTCATTTTCTCGCGATATTTTTTCATACGCTCCGTTGCACTCTTACTCATATTGTAAAAAATCAAATCAAAGCAATGCCTCATGTTCGAAAAGAATAATAGATCAATGATAACAAGATGCTTTTAGAAAAAAATTTAGATGTAAGCGCTTTTTCAGTGTCCGCACATTCCTTTTATAGAAAATTTTAATCGAAAACATGACTAGAAAACGTGAAAAGACACGTGCACTTTTGCTAGGCCAGTGTTATTGTGAAATGTGAAGGTCCGTTAATACGTGTTAGAGTAGTCTGTGAAGAAAAAAAAGGGTAGCCTTTCGTATTCTCTTCGCTTCATGTATTCTAAATATACATTGATTAGATGCAGCCCTGAGGCGTCTACAAGTCTAGGCTATGTGTTAAAGTATTCATCAAGCTCGGAAGTTTCGGTTAGATAATGAGTAACTATTTATAATTGTTTTTTGCACAGAGAATAAGGACATTTATCAACACGAATTAGTTGCACCAACGATTAACTTTTTGTGACGCCGTTACGTCTTTTTTGCCTATATTCGACTTTTTTGAGTTTTAAACTAGTCCATCGAAAAGCCCGTGAAAAAATGGTATTATCTGACGATTTTTTTCTTAAAAATTTCTCTTTCTGCTCTGCTCAAAATTTAAAATGAGCTCTTTTCGTAACGGCGTCAAAACAAATTTGACCAAGTATTGTTTTTTCAATAGCTCTAAGTCGGGGTAATGAAATGACCTCATTTTTGCGTCAAAAGATAGCCCTTAAACAACTTCATATGAACCATTAGAATCCAGATTCAGAAAAAGATATTCCATCTATAGGTACGGTATATAAAAGAAAGTCTTCGCCCCAACTATAATAGGGTTTCTGAGAGGTGCTATTAAGATGCTCTGAAAGATCGTTTAACCGAGTTCAAAATTCGACACAGACACATTTGGCTAGGTTTTCGACTATGCTTCTCAACATGGCATAAACGGTTTTAAGCAACCTTCAGCCGTTTTAAGCCGTTTTCTGAAAATAGGCAAAATGAGTGAATTTTTCGAACATAAGGAAACTTTTCAGGTTTTATGTGTTATTTTAAATTCTAAAACTCTTTTATCCAAATCGAGCATACAAAACTCTCCCTATACTGTCATTTTTCTTTGAAAAAGAGAAACATTTAGCATGATAATATATAGAAGTTAACTTTCCAATTTTCTAACAAAGGTCGTATCCGATTAATATGGGATTTGAGGTCAGACACCTTTAACTTAGCTTGAAAATTTCTCTTAAGTAAACCAGAATGGTAGTTCTCTAGGCTTAGTGATTTCTTACAGTAACTAGAAATCTAAGAGTGCTAAAGAATCTGTTTTTCTTGGGTATCAGAATCGTAACTATCCGATGATGGTTAACTTTAGCCTTTTCATCCGCTGTATAACACCTGTTTTCTTTAGGCTTTAATTCATTTCTACAGTTGTGACAATTTCATTTCATCAATACAGTTTATTTGTTTGAATCTATGATATCATTACAGTCACATCGTCGAAAGAGAATTTTCATTTTTTTCTAATGATGATGAAGATACTAGAGGAAAATAATATTTACTTGTTGAGTAACTGGTTGTGTAAAAAGAGCAAAGCAGAAAATCTCGCATATTTACAATATCACGTGTTTTCGAAAAAGCGGTCCCCTTCAACTTTTTCGACTATAAAGAATCTTTTTCAAAAGTTAAATAACACTTTTTCTTACTCAACTCATCACGCTCTATCGAACCATATATAGAAAGATGAATAAAAATTTTTTTACTGGAAGTTCGAATTGCCGGCATCTTACATATAGGCACATCTGACCGTCTATATGAAACAAAATCATCATTCTTCCAGTTACAATTTAAGATTTTTATCTGTTAAGATTTTGATTAATCGTCGATGATTAATTGAACCAAGCCCGGTAACGGGATCAAAACCTTTTGCAGTTAAAAAACCATATTGACAACATGTTGGTGATGCAGTACATTTGTTATCAGCTTTCGTAATATCATAAAATACATCTGGATATTTTATAGCTAATTTATATAATAATGGATTTAAAAAACCTAATAATTTTAAACCATTCTGTAACCGACGATTATTAATTAAACTAAATAGACCAGCAATAGTTGGACTACTAGCAGATGTACCTAAAAAGCAACATAACAACATGTTTTTAACAGGATAATTTGGTAAGGATCAATATAAAACTTAC